GCCATCTCATGTTTGGGCGCCATTTAGCAAGTGTGGTGGTTAGTCCCAGAAGTGGTTAATAAATTTTATTTTGAAATTTTGTGACTCTGGATTGCAACACGATTTTAAATAATTGAAAATATTTAAAAAAAAAATTCACGCCTTGTGCGGATGCTTAAAAAAAGCCCCAACAATATTGTTTTAAAAAAATCCACGCCTTATTAAGCAGCCAAAAAAAAATCATTTTTTAAAAATTAACACCCTGTTGGGTGACCAACCCTCTCAAATCTAGATGACTCCGTCATCAGAAATTGCAGGGTATCTGACGAATGTTCTTTTTCGGTTCATTTAAAGATTTTCTTCGATGTCTCTTTTGACGGAGGAGGTAAACAACAGCCTTATCGGAATCCAAGGAGAACAAACTGGGAGAAATTCACGGAGCTAACGAACTCCCAGCTGACTCTTAATACAAACATAGGAACAGCTGAGGAAGTTAATGGGGTCGTGAACAATCTAACGGACGTTCTTCTTAGATGCCATAGCGAAATTCTGTCCGCTCACATACCCTGGGAAAAAATCTCAGCCAGTGTGGTGGAACAGGGAACTTGGTGAGCTCAGAAAAGCGACCAGACGACTGTATAACAGGGTGCATAAATCAAAACTCGATATTGATTGGACCTCCTACAGAGCTAGTTTCAACAAATAGAAGAGTGAGATCAAACACGCAAAGAAAATGTCTCTTTCTGTGAGTCGATAGAAGGAGTCAACGACGCTGCTAGGTATCTGATGAAAGTTCCTTTTCGGATCATTTATAGATTTTCTTCGAGGTTTTTTTTTTGACGGAGGTAAACAACAGCCTTATCGGAATCCAATGAGAACATACTGGCAGAAATTCAAGGAGCTAACGAACTCCCAGCTGACTCTTAATACAAACATAGGAACAGCTGAGGAAGTTAATGGGGTCGTGAACAATCTAACGGACGTTCTTCTTAGATGCCATAGCGAAATTCTGTCCGCTTACATACCCTGGGAAAAAATCTCAGCCAGTGTGGTGGAACAATGAACTTTGTGAGCTCAGAAAAGCGACCAGCGACGACTGTACAACAGGGCGCATAAATCTAAACTCGATATTGATTGGACCTCCTACAGATCTGATTTCAACAAATACAAGAGTGAGATCAAACGCGCAAAGAAAAAGAGTCTTGGATAGATTTCTGTGATTCGATAGAAGGAGTCAACGATGCTGCTAGGTATCTGATGAAAGTTCCTTTTCGGATCATTTAAAGATTTTCTTCGAGGTTTTTTTTTTTTTTTTTTTTGACGGAGGTAAACAACAGCCTTATCGGAATCCAAGGAGAACATACTGGCAGAAATTCAAGGAGCTAACGAACTCCCAGCTGACTCTTAATACAAACATAGGAACATCTGAGGAACTTAATGGAACCGTGAACAATCTAATGGACATTCTTCATAGATGCCATAAGGAATCCTGTCCGCTTACATACCCTGGGAAAAATCTCAGCCAGTGTGGTGGAACAAGGAACTTGGTGAGCTCAAACAAAGCGACCAGACGACTGTACAACAGGGCGCATAAATATAAACTCGATATTAATTGGAACTCCTACAGAGCTAGTTTCAACAAATACAAGAGTGAGATAAAACGATCAAAGTAAAAGTCTTGGATAAATTTCTGTAAGTCGATAGGAGTCAACGACTCTGCTAGGTTTCGAAGACTACTATCCAAGGATCCGAAGTCCATTGGAAGTATCAAGAAGCTGGATGGAGCGTGGAGGGACTCAGGTTCTGAGACTCTTAATCTCCTAGCTGAGATTACTAGCTGAGACCCTGCGTTGACGAGGAGTAGACGGAGACAATTGAGCACTTCCTGTGTCACTGGCTTACAGGCGGCACAAAATAGTGGGTGCCCATTTTCTACGGAGTCTTAGCTTCTTCTCAACAACCGATCCCGCTCTAATCTGCAAAGAAAAAGTCTTGGATAAATTTCTGTGAGTCGATAGAAGGACGACGCTGCTAGGTTTCGAAGACTACTATCCAAGGATCCGAAGTCCATCGGAAGTATCAAGAAGCAGGATGGAGCGAGGAGGGACTCAGGTCCTAAGACTCTTAATCTCCTAGCTGAGATTACTGTAGACTCTGCGTTGTGTCACTGCCCAGCCCTGGCTTACAGGCGGCACATACTAGTGTTTGCCCATTTTCTACCAAGTCTTAGCTTCTTCTCAACAACTGAACCTGCTCTAATCTACAGCATATTTAGAAACCTAAACAGGTTAGGAAAGTACAACCTTGACACGTAACACATATTCTGTCTGATTCCTATAGCCATCGACCTTATTCAAATCTTCTCATCTCCCTTTATTTCCCCCAATCTTCTCTCCCCTACAGATCTTTCCTTATCTCTTTTCTTCTCGTGGATGATCACAAGGGACCCAGAGGTCTAGGTGACCAAAAAAATATATATATTTTTTTTGAAAAATCCGAATACATTTCTTTAAAATTTATCAAAGACGATCACAAAACATTTGTATCTGACATCTGGTGGTTAGTCCCAGAAGTGGTTAATAAATTTTATTTTGAAATTTTGTGACTCTGGATTGCAACACGATTTTAAATAATTGAAAATATTTAAAAAAAAATTCACGCCTTGTGCGGATGCTTAAAAAAAGCCCCAACAATATTGTTTTAAAAAAATCCACGCCTTATTAAGCAGCCAAAAAAAAATCATTTTTTAAAAATTAACACCCTGTTGGGTGACCAACCCTCTCAAATCTAGATGACTCCGTCATCAGAAATTGCAGGGTATCTGACGAATGTTCTTTTTCGGTTCATTTAAAGATTTTCTTCGATGTCTCTTTTGACGGAGGAGGTAAACAACAGCCTTATCGGAATCCAAGGAGAACAAACTGGGAGAAATTCACGGAGCTAACGAACTCCCAGCTGACTCTTAATACAAACATAGGAACAGCTGAGGAAGTTAATGGGGTCGTGAACAATCTAACGGACGTTCTTCTTAGATGCCATAGCGAAATTCTGTCCGCTCACATACCCTGGGAAAAAATCTCAGCCAGTGTGGTGGAACAGGGAACTTGGTGAGCTCAGAAAAGCGACCAGACGACTGTATAACAGGGTGCATAAATCAAAACTCGATATTGATTGGACCTCCTACAGAGCTAGTTTCAACAAATAGAAGAGTGAGATCAAACACGCAAAGAAAATGTCTCTTTCTGTGAGTCGATAGAAGGAGTCAACGACGCTGCTAGGTATCTGATGAAAGTTCCTTTTCGGATCATTTATAGATTTTCTTCGAGGTTTTTTTTTTGACGGAGGTAAACAACAGCCTTATCGGAATCCAATGAGAACATACTGGCAGAAATTCAAGGAGCTAACGAACTCCCAGCTGACTCTTAATACAAACATAGGAACAGCTGAGGAAGTTAATGGGGTCGTGAACAATCTAACGGACGTTCTTCTTAGATGCCATAGCGAAATTCTGTCCGCTTACATACCCTGGGAAAAAATCTCAGCCAGTGTGGTGGAACAATGAACTTTGTGAGCTCAGAAAAGCGACCAGCGACGACTGTACAACAGGGCGCATAAATCTAAACTCGATATTGATTGGACCTCCTACAGATCTGATTTCAACAAATACAAGAGTGAGATCAAACGCGCAAAGAAAAAGAGTCTTGGATAGATTTCTGTGATTCGATAGAAGGAGTCAACGATGCTGCTAGGTATCTGATGAAAGTTCCTTTTCGGATCATTTAAAGATTTTCTTCGAGGTTTTTTTTTTTTTTTTTTTTTTTGACGGAGGTAAACAACAGCCTTATCGGAATCCAAGGAGAACATACTGGCAGAAATTCAAGGAGCTAACGAACTCCCAGCTGACTCTTAATACAAACATAGGAACATCTGAGGAACTTAATGGAACCGTGAACAATCTAATGGACATTCTTCATAGATGCCATAAGGAATCCTGTCCGCTTACATACCCTGGGAAAAATCTCAGCCAGTGTGGTGGAACAAGGAACTTGGTGAGCTCAAACAAAGCGACCAGACGACTGTACAACAGGGCGCATAAATATAAACTCGATATTAATTGGAACTCCTACAGAGCTAGTTTCAACAAATACAAGAGTGAGATAAAACGATCAAAGTAAAAGTCTTGGATAAATTTCTGTAAGTCGATAGGAGTCAACGACTCTGCTAGGTTTCGAAGACTACTATCCAAGGATCCGAAGTCCATTGGAAGTATCAAGAAGCAGGATGGAGCGTGGAGGGACTCAGGTTCTGAGACTCTTAATCTCCTAGCTGAGATTACTAGCTGAGACCCTGCGTTGACGAGGAGTAGACGGAGACAATTGAGCACTTCCTGTGTCACTGGCTTACAGGCGGCACAAAATAGTGGGTGCCCATTTTCTACGGAGTCTTAGCTTCTTCTCAACAACCGATCCCGCTCTAATCTGCAAAGAAAAAGTCTTGGATAAATTTCTGTGAGTCGATAGAAGGACGACGCTGCTAGGTTTCGAAGACTACTATCCAAGGATCCGAAGTCCATCGGAAGTATCAAGAAGCAGGATGGAGCGAGGAGGGACTCAGGTCCTAAGACTCTTAATCTCCTAGCTGAGATTACTGTAGACTCTGCGTTGTGTCACTGCCCAGCCCTGGCTTACAGGCGGCACATACTAGTGTTTGCCCATTTTCTACCAAGTCTTAGCTTCTTCTCAACAACTGAACCTGCTCTAATCTACAGCATATTTAGAAACCTAAACAGGTTAGGAAAGTACAACCTTGACACGTAACACATATTCTGTCTGATTCCTATAGCCATCGACCTTATTCAAATCTTCTCATCTCCCTTTATTTCCCCCAATCTTCTCTCCCCTACAGATCTTTCCTTATCTCTTTTCTTCTCGTGGATGATCACAAGGGACCCAGAGGTCTAGGTGACCAAAAAAATATATATATTTTTTTTGAAAAATCCGAATACATTTCTTTAAAATTTATCAAAGACGATCACAAAACATTTGTATCTGACAGGCCCGATTGCCATTCATAACATAGATCCATTCGATCATGTATTTCCCTTTGGGCATGGGGAAAATTTGGAAAGTCTCATCATCAAAGGTCATGTTGCGGACAATAATGTCATCCTGAAAAATGTTTTTTTTTCAATTTAAAAAAATGTTAAAAAAAATTTTCAAACTAGAACCCACCTCATAGGGACACGAATGATTCATGTTCGTAAATTTTGAAAATTTATCATAATATGTGGACCAGAAATTCCCACGCAATGTCTTACTGCGAATGTTGCAAAAATCGATGACATCGTTGTAGAGAAACGGTTGGACTTTCTTGCCAATTTTGCGATACAGCTTGGCATTTATCTGCAGGAGGGAAACAAGAGTATTTTTTAGAGATTTTTTCTGAGGGTAAAATCGGTTTATCTCCCCTTCATCTCCTTACCACAATACTGTTGATCCTCTTTAAAAGCTGGACATGAATATTGATAACGGGTTCACTGGAATTTTTTCTCTCCACCCCACAGACTTTAATATTTACGAGGTTCGAATCGATGACCTTACACTCAGTTTTGGTTAAATTTATTGGTCGGAATTTTGCCATTTCTATGGGTCGTAGGAAAAATTGCAGCTCAATTAAAATTAAATAACAAAAATGGAATTTTTTCATAGCCGTGTTTTTTGGTGACTGACTGGATGAAATCGATTTGTTGAGGTGTGGGAATTGAAATAAAGCTTTTTTTCCGAACTAAAACAAAAGATCTGAGATTATTTTGAAATAATAATAATGACCCAGATCTGTGTGCAATTATGTTATTAATCATGTGGCGGAAAATTACGCAATTTTATAAAAAAAAATTGAAAAAAAATACTTTTCAAGTGAAACCATAGGGTGGACTTTTTAAAAATTATTTTGAGGTATCTAGCATAGGCGTGATCTACCAGAAGCGTGGATTTTTAAAAAAAAATTGTTTTTAGGCATATACAATCACCCGTTGGGGTGGCGTAGGGGATGATAGATACCACGCAACGGCTCTGATTGGCTTTAACATGGCAAAGTCCGGGCTTATCTTGGCCCCTCTTTCATCTCAATTGTGCACACTGACCTCCTCGCGGTGCCTCCTGGGAAGCTATTTCATCATCACCCGTAGAAATAGTGAGCTAATATGTGCCGCGAGTACACCCATAAGAACTATAAAAAAATGGGTTGATACGTCGGGTTAGTTGCCCACATTCGGAAAACCGAACCTACAATGAAAAAGCAAAGAAAAAGAAAACCAAACCCACCTAATGTTGACGACCCCCGCAAACATATAAAGGACCACGATCTGCGAATCTACACTTTGAATGTGCGCACCTTGTACAGAATAGGGGTAGTTTTCGCATTGGCGGATGTACTCAAGAAGTACAAAGCCGATATTATTGCCTTACTGGAAATGCGATGGAAAGAGGGACGGGCGTAAGTAAATCCGACAATTACGCACTGTATTATAGCTGCCATGAAACGAGGCATGAATTTGGCTGCGGATTTATGGTTAAAATGAGAATAAAAAGCCTCGTCTACAGATTCACTCCAGTAGATGTGCGAATTGCTATAGTCCGTATAAAATCGAAGTTCTTCTACATCAGTCTCATTTGCGCCCATGCTCTGACCGAAGACAAAGATGAGCAGACCAAAGACATATTTTATGAGCGCCTAGAAACAGCATATGATCGCTGCCCTGGGCATGACATTCAAATTCAGCTAGGAGATTTTAATGAAAAAATCGGAAGGGAAAATATCTTTGGCCCCACCGTCGGAAAATTCAGCCTTCATGAAGAAATATCCGACAATGGCATGAGGTTGATTGACTTCGTGGCAGCAAAAAATATAGTAATTAGCAGTATCAGGTTCAAGCATCTCGATATACGCAAGGCCACCTGGAATTCTTCTGATCAAGCAACGAGAAATCAAATTGATCATGTTGTGATAGACGAAAGACATTCATCCAGTGTATTATACGTTCGATCGATCCGAGGAGCGAATATTGATTCGGATCACTACCTTGTAGCAGCCATGGTTCGCACTCGTCTTAATGTTGCAGCAAAGGTGCGATCTAAGACAACCCGGAAATTAGACGTCGAAAAGCTGCAAACACAACAGGTAGCCGAGGCCTACTCCGCTCAACGTACCCGCCTGCTTGACGAAAGCACTTCTTGTCCTGATAATAATATAGATGCACAGGGGCAGAGAATTGCCCACTTCCTACAAACTGCAGCAAAAGCAACTCTTGGGTACCAAAGACCACCATTAAGAAATCCGTGGTACGATCAGCAGTGTCGTAATGCTACTGATGTGAAAAACGCAGCGTATAGGTCAACCCTGCGGACAGTAGCAACACGTAATGTGATGGAGAATTATCGTGAGAAAAAGAGAGAGGAGAAACGTGTTTTCAGAAAAGAAGAAGGAAGAACAAGAAAAACGTGAGCGTGAGCACATCAAGATGTTCTGGAGTTAGAATGAAGTCCGAAAATTCTACCAACGGGTAAAACACCAAACCGAAGGTTTTGGTGCAGGCACATCCTCCCGTAGAGATGAAGAAGGAAACCTGGTGACAGATACAGGCAGCGTGCTCTGGAAGGAGCATTTTGAAAAGCTTCTGGTATCAAATAGTGGTGGTGAAAAGGATACCCCAGAACCAATAAGAGATGACGGTATAGAGTGTATACCACCTAGCCAAGATGAGGTCATAAAAGCAATTAATCCGCTCAAGAACAATAAAGCAGCAGGAGCCGACGGGTTATCAGCCGAACTATTCAAGACTGGTGGTCAGATGCTGGTCAGACCATCACCAGCTGATTAGTACAATTTGGCTAGAGGAATGCATGCCCAATGATTGGAACCTCAGCATCCTGTGTCTCGTGCACAAAAAAGGAGACAAGACGATATGTGCTAACTATAGAGGAATTAGATTTTTCCCATCGTGCCAACTATAGAGGAATAAGTCTCCTTCCCATCGCATATAAAGTGCTATCCAGTGTGTTGTGTGAACGACTGAATCCAATTGTCAATGACATTATTGGACCATACCAATGCGGACCTGGCAAATCCACCAGATTTTCACTCTGCGCCAAATCCTGGAAAAGACCCACGAAAAACACATCGACACACACCACCTATTCGTCGACTATAAAGCCGCATTCGACTCGAGCTCTATCCGTTCAGAGATGTTTAAAGTCATGTCTACGTTCTGCATTGCTGCAAAATTAATTCGGCTATGCAGGATAACTTTAAGTGGCACAAAGTCAGCAGTTAAATTTGGAAAGGACCTATCGGAGCCCTTTAATACCGAACGAGGATTCAGGCAAGGTGACAGTTTGTTGTGTAACATTTTTAACATCCTGCTGGAAAAGGTCATACGAGAGGCAAAAGTGAACAGAAATGGCTATATGTACACCAAACAACACATATTACTCGCCTACGCCGCCGATGACATCGATATAATGGGTCGAACATTGCGTACGGTAAACAGCCACCTTTGACCAGATTTGAGAAAGAGTCTGCCAAAGTGGGTCTGGCTGTAAACGGCAAGAAGACCAAGCTGATGGTATCAACGTGCAAGATGTCCAGTAGACTCGGACCAACTGTGGAACTTGAAAACTACAGCTTTGATGTTGTCAAAGATTCTATATACCTTGGTACTGCCATAAATAAAACGAATGACATCAGTTTTGAAATTCGGAGAAGGATAGTGTTGGCCAACAGATTCTACTATGTTTTAAGTAAACAATTTAGAAACAAGGCCACCTCCCGCCAGATCAAACTCGCACTTTACAAGACGCTGATACTACCCGTCTCTTCCATCCTTATCTGTTGCAGGAAACTTATCTTTACTATTTAAAATTAAATTTTCCATTACCATACATCGAATGGCTTCTTCCACAAACGAACTGCTCTGAACGATAAGAAAATGTGCAATCTACGTATTTCATTATAAAGTTGTAGATTTTTTGCCATGCATGTCCTTTTACACTTGAGTGCATTTCAAACAAAAATCGAGCTCTCTCTTCCTTCCTCTCTCTCTGCTTCGTTTGTGGTAACATTAGCTGGATGGCCAGCTAACCAGCTAAAAAACATCATCTTCAAAACTTCATCCACATGATTGTCGTTTCAATCATCATCAGCATCCTCATCGTCATTATCACCAATACCCCTTCTAAGGATGCTGGGCCATTACTACTGGCCACTAACAATGTTTTTGTTTGATATCCTGTTTTTCCTTTTTTCTTATTTTGTGCCAACAAAAAGTGTTGAAATACCATTTCACTTCAAATGGAGTTTTTTTTCGATTTTTTCAATTCTTTTTTTTCAGATATTTTTTTCATTTGTTTTTTTTTGCTTTTTGTAAAAAGTGTGTTAAATGAACTGCAAAAAGTTACAATTGTATTTAAAAAAGTCTGGCATGTCTAACGAGTGCAATATCCTAGCCTCTTCTCTATGTCTCCCTCTCTTTTTTTTCTGTGTGCTATCCTCTATACCCTCAGCTGATTTCTTATTTATAATCCCTGGGACAATATTTGATTTCCTTTTTTTTTGCAATTGCCAAAATGCATTTAGAACTTCTTTAAATTGAATTTCGGAGAAAAAATTATTGGAATGCAGTTTTGTGGCTTTAAATTCTCGAAATTTATTCCGAAGTCATTCTGCCCTTGACCACACTGTGTTGCATAGTATTCTGTCTTTGTGCATATGTTTGTAACAGGCAAAAGGAAAAGGAAAAAAGATAGACCCATGAGATTTGGCACAGCTCATTTATTTGGTCCATGGACGAAACCTATTGAAATTGGAAAAAATCGGTTCGGATTTAGTTATAGCTGCCATATATATGTTCGACCGATTTAATGTAAATGGTGCACCAAAGTCCCTATACATCTTTCGATTTGCATGAAATTTGGCATAACGTACTGAATTGAGACTAGGATGATGTGTGCCAAGTTTCGTGAAAATCGGTTCAGATTTAGATATAGCTCCCATATATAGTTTCGACCGATTTCATGTAAATGGTGCACCAAAGTCCCTATATATGTTTCGATTCTCACGAAATTTGGCACAGCGTACTGAATTAAGCCTAGAATGAGGTTTGCTAAGTTTCGTGAAAATCTGTTCAGATTTAGATATAGCTCCCATATATAATTTCGTCCGATTTAAGGCAAATAGTGCACCAAAGTCCCTAAATATCTTTCGATTTGCACGAAATTTGGCACAGGATACTAAATTAGGTTGAGAATGATGTGTGCTAAGTTTCGTGAAAATCGGTTCAGATTAAGATATAGCTCCCATATATATTTTCGTCCGATTTTATGTAAATGGTGCACCAAAGACCCTATATATCTATCGATTTGTACGAAATTTGGCATATGGTACTATATTAGATAGAGAATGATGTGTGCTAAGTTTCGTGAAAATCGGTTCGGATTTAGTTATAGCTCCCATATATATTTTCGTCCGATTTAAGGTAAATGGTGCACTAAAGTCACTAAATATCTTTCGATTTGCCGAAATTTGGCAGAATGTACTGATTTAAGCCTAGAATGATGTGTGCTAAGTTTCGTGAAAATCGGTTC